ACATTAAGCAAAATGTCACATGCAGGGATGAAAACCAAATGAGGGGAGTGGAGTGTTGAGAATGGAGGAAAAGAAACACAGAATGAAAATTCCATATGTGCTGGAAGATTCTGGAAACATAATAGCTGATATATAAAATGTGCTTATTCTTGAGTGTCTGTAAGAATGGGCAGATTTTATTTACTTACTCCTCCTCATGCCAGATATTGTCCAGTTCTCTTGGCACTTCCTCTTTTAGGAATGTCTTGGTATTGACCCAAACCCTCCTACTTTTAGTGCAACCTGTTGGGTTGCAAACATTTGGAACTTGATTTTGATTAATTTCAATCAAAAGGCTGCAAAACACATGCTATTTATATATAAATATATATATAAAATTATAAATAAGAGTAAATTCCACACACACACACACACACACAAATTTACACTACATCGTTTGGACTGTTGTCTTCATTTTTATTACCATATTCACATTTTGTCCATTGTACACTCCGGCCTTCTTTAGGTGATATACGTTGGAATTTCAAATCAAATAGATTGTTCTAATTCCACATGACAGACCTTTTCTGGATATCTCGGTTTCCATTAATTCCCCTTGGTATCTCTCCAAGGTTTTGTTCCCTCTGTTGTGGCCAGGTATTGAACTTTCAATCACTTTTTGAATTACTTAACCAACACTTTTATCCATTGGGCCATATGTCCTAAGATATCCCAAAATGGCATGGCATGTGGAATTAGAGCACTCTACCCCCATAGAATAAATGAAGGATTCGGTTCAAAATTACAGCATATATAATCTGAAGAAGGCTGGAGTATACAATGGCCGAAATGTTGTGGATATAGCAATAAAGATGAGGACAACAGTCCAAACAATGTAACTAGTTACAATACCTAATCTCAGAAATACACACACACATATATATATATATATATATATATATATATATATATATATATAATAATAATAGTATGAGAAATTGGGAAAAGTTTTTGTGACTCATTTCATCTGTTAGGATTTCATCGTACTGGGCTTTGTTGATGTCACCATCATGATATGATTTCAGATGACCCCAAAAATGGGATATTAAAAGATTATAAAGCAAGTATTGAAAGAAAGTTGTAACCCCTTATATTTTGAATCTTGCAGATTTCCAATTCTTATTACCCTTGATAGTTGAGAAGCTATGTAAAATGGTTGAACATGTTCCCCACCAGGTGGAAGTAACCCATAAGCTATTCTGAGAAAGCCAAATGGTGATTTTAGAATCTGTGGTGACTATAAAATAGGCATGCATAAACCATAAAATCTGTTCAGATTCTTATCCTATCAAAAACATTAGGAAGATATATTCGTTAGCAGGAATTAAATGCTTTATGAAAATTGATCTAAAATGTGCACACTGTCAAATTTGAACTGATGATAAATTTAAGATCACCACAATTAACTTTCCAGTTGGACTGTTTAGATGAACATGTATTGGGTAAAAACAGCAAGTGTCATCTTTCAGAAGACAATACAAAATATTCAAAAGGGGACATAAAAAATATTATATCAAGATGATATCTGTTTGGGTGCAACCTATGCAGAAGAGTTGAAACAAAATCCAACCAGGTATTAAATAGACTAAGGATATCTGGAATGACCATTAACAAAAATAAATGTGTATTTAATTGTGAAAAAATAACATTGGTACCAAATTTCAAAAGATGGAATTTCATCTGAGCCAAGTTTGACATAGAATATATTAGAGGTGTCTCCTCCTACCAATAAAAAAGAATTGTAATGGGGGGGGGGGAGCAAATTTTTATCGTAAATACTTATCCAAATATTTGGAATTAATAGAAGGGTTTGGCAATTTGTGCAAAAAGAATGAATTTAAGTGAGAACTAATATTCAACAAACAGCATTTCAAAACTTGACAAATGCTCTTGCAAAAAAAAACAAAAAACCCTGTTATCAAGATTTTTGACTCCCAAAAGAATCAACTACAGATTTTAGTAAATGTTCAATATCGGCAATCTTAGCCCAGGAAGGACACCCAGTTATGTATCTTTCTAGAGTATTAACATGAACTGAATCTAATTACTCAGACATAGAAAAAGAGGCTCTAGCTATAGTTTGGAGCACTAGTAGGGCTCGTTGATTTTTTATTGGGCAGAAAATTCTTGTTGAAACCTGACCATAAGCTCAATGAATACATTTTTAACCCAAGGGAGGAATTACTGAAAGTTACATCTTACAAAATATTAAGAGCTAATGGCTTTTGATTTTGATATCGAACATGTAATAGGAAATACTATTCCCCATGTAGATACATTATCCACATTACATTTTAAAAGACAGCATGTTAGAAATTATGGAAGATGAATTTTTGCCCCAGGGTAGAAACAGATGTTATACCAATAAATCAACCAGCCTCAGAAACATGACAGGATTCAATATTAATTAAAGTGGTATCTAGAAAAAAAAAAAAAAAAAATAAATGGATTAATTGTTGAAAAGCTGAAAGACCATACAAAGAAATTAGACCTAAGTTAACTGTAGAAAATGGTATTGCATGTTATGGAGATTTAGTAGTACCAACTGGAAAATGTAGAAACTTTAAATTGGCAGGTGGGATTCTGTAAATTCAAAGTGTATTTTAAAATTGTAATAAAGTATGACTAAAATACAGACATCATCCAAAAAATTACATTTGAACATTGCCATTTAGGGTTATTTTTTTAAAAGTAATTTTAATGAATTTAAATTTCCAAGTTTAGTTTTTTTAAGTGAATTTATAATAATTTATCTATTACTTATAAATAAACAAAACTTTCATCAATAAATTTAAAAACAACCTTTGAAAAGAGTCTTTTTTTTTTTTTTTTTTTTTTGTGCCTCTTAATTCCTTGGGGAACATAGGGCTGCAACAACATCTCTCCAACGGATATGGTTCTGAGTGATCCTCTTCAGCTCAACCCATGTTATGCCAGCTGCCTTCAACTGTATGTCAACACTTCTTCAAGTCTGTTTTGGTCTGAGACATCGGACAGTAAATGTCTGAAGTTTGTGGGTGTTGGTATTGGTTGCCTGCCAGGTTTCTGAGCTGTAAAGTAGAATCGACTTGACGTTGATGTTGAAGATCCGGATCTTGTTGCAAAGTGAGAGGGCTGTTGATCTCCAGATTGGCTGCAGTGTGTTGAAATCATGTCACTTGCGATTCACTTCCAAGTGTGCTTGTCAAACTCTCTGCCTCCAGACAGAGAGGAACCCAGATGAGGCTATGCCGAAAGGCAGTCTCATCTGGGGTGGTAGACAGCTACCTGACCCCATTTTTTACGGGTACTAATTGAAATTTTTAGCCGAGCCCTTAAGGTCGGATACCCCACAATAAACTCTGCCTTGTGCCACATCTGACCGGGTGGGGCGGTTAGTGAATATCTTCTGTGGCCCAGATGACTAGGATCAAAGTATAGTATCTGTTTCAGCAGCAGACAACCAGCCTATGGCTCCAGCTAGCCAGCCATCTTAATCTCTAGCTTGCTATCGACTGTTCCAGACATTCTTGCCAATGATATGCAATAAACTGTCCTTTTCAGGACACTGCTATTCTTGCACAGTTATCTAATAAATAATGTTAGTTCACACTAACATTATTTTTGTTTATGTATTTTTCTTTAACAAAAATAAACTTGACAATATATGTCTTTACTCAAGTTTTTGTTTTGTTTGTTGTTGTCTTTCGTTATTCAATATCCATTTGTGGGCCATTATACTACCCATAGCATATCTTTGTAGTGAAGCTTGTCAGACCTGCTTTACTCAGGTGAATTGGGATGTGGAACTTAACTGGACTATGGCCTATATCCAACTCTCACACATGGGCACTGTGACGGCCTCACGTTGGTCTACAGCAATGACCTGCCAGCTAAACTGTGTGGGTGTAGTTAGAAGGAAACCCTCTTTGCAACCCAACTGTGCCAAGCAGTCAGTCTGGGCATAGGAGCTGCACCTCAGAAGTTAGCTTTACCAGTGGGTGGAGGAACTTCTGAAAGGAGGGATAGGTAATCTCACCATCCCTAGTGCATAGCAAACCACCAAACCATTTTCTCTATTCTGCCTTGAATGTCACATGAACCATAATTAGGAGAATGGTGACCACAACAGAATAAAATGTGCTAACTCAATAAATGAATGAAAATCTTTATTGAAACATGTAAAGTTTTTATTTTCCTTATGGATTAACTTGACTCTTTCAAATAAAATTAAAATTTAACTTTAAAAAGGACATTTAAATCAAAACGGTTTTTAGAAAGTTTGTACAAGTAAATACTACTTTAAATTTAAAAAAAAATTTAATGTGTTTTTGATTATATTTTTTTCACAATATAATCATAACTGAACATGGTAGTAGGTCAGTGTTGAAGGACAAAATGATGAACGGACAAAGTGTCGAACGGAAAGAGCTTGACAAAATGATGAACGGACAAAGTGTCGAACGGAAAGAGCTTGACAAAATGATGAACGGACATAATGCTGAAACAGTTTCAAAAGGACAAAATGTTGAACAAAGTAAAAGCAAAAATGTAATGATTTTAAAAAACGCTGTTCAAATAATCAGTTAAACTATTCTAAACATTTTATTGCTTAACTTTGGCATCATTTAATAATAGCCTTAAGGGATGAAGCCTTCATCATCAGTTAGCAGTCTGATTTGGTTGGGGTTGTTTCTTAACCTCTATTTTTTTCAAAAATGAATTGAGAATTTTTTTCTCTCACACACACACATATATATATATATATATATATATATATATATATATGTATATATATTTTTTTTTTTTTTTTTTTTTTTTTTTTTTTTCATTAGGGACTATAAGTATGTGCCTACATCACAATTCAGTTTATTTACTAAATTCAGTTCTTTCTTCAAATTTTAAAGGTATTCTGTTGTATTTCTGGTCTTTTTTCATCATTTTGTTCTTCAGTTTATCTTTTGGTACTGTGTTTGCACATGGTCAAAACACCAGTTCTCATCCAATCACTGAAGTTAAGCAACGTCAAGACTAGTCAGTACCTAGATGGGTGACCACTTGGAAATACCAGCTGCTGTAAGCTTGGGTGTGTGCATGGTGTAATGGATAATGGCTCGGAATTGGATATCAGAAAGCTGTTTCAATTCCAGTCGGTTTCGTTATGCAAACATACAACATTACCCTTGTTTGAGCTTTCCACTGACCAGCCAATGATTATCCCACATTGCTTTCTGATTTTTGCTGTCGTAAATTCACATCAAAAGTTGGGCTAGGGCAGCTGCATGCTCACAAGTTTACATGATGAATGACAAATGCTATGTCAAGAAATATGAATACAAACCATGTTTCCCATGTTATATGTAGATGTTTTATTCAGGGCATCACCTGTTTGTCTGATTAGGTAGGTATGTGACACTTCGGATAACTTCTACTTACCCCTTACAATTTGAACCCCTACCAACTTCTTGGCCATTTACTCATATTGGTATAGTGGCTGGTAATACAAATGGGTGCTTCAAAGCCACATGACCAACATGTCTGTCTCCCACCCAGAGTGGACCAAAACTTACACTGATCCCAAACATGACTGTTAATATAGACCAACAGCCGGAATGAAATAATTGAGAGTTACCCTATTGCTTTTTTTTTTTTTTTTTCCACTTAAGCTCCAATAAATGTAAATGGCATAGAAATTTCAATCTACTCAACCCACATATGCATTTACCTTTAATCCTACAGTTTATTATATGTATTATTAGCCTACAGTGTTTGAGTATCCATTAGTTTACCATGTACCTCAACTTCGTATATAAACTTGGGTGTTTTTTGTTATTTTTTTTTTTTTTTTTTTTTTTTTTTTTTTTTTTTTTAGTGTGAAAAGTGTCAAGAGGCTTATGACATCAAAGACAGTATTTAAAATTAATAAAATGAAATGCTTGTTCACTTTTTTTAAGTAATATTAATACAAGGGGAATAACTCTTATATTACATGATGATAAGTGGCAATAACTTCTGACGTTTATTAGTAATTCCTGATAATTTTCTGTTTATATGCAAAAAAAAAAATCACTATACTTTTTTTTTTTTTTTTTTTTTTTTTTTAAATTATTTATTTTTATTAGTTCTTGTTCTAATGTCTTAAGATCTCCCCGTCAAAAATAAAATATTAGGTAGATATTTGGCAACAATGTTGTTGGTTAAAATATAGTGAAAAAATAGTTTATAATAATTTCTAACACTCAGCATTTGGTATTTTTAAAAACGGACAAGTTAAAAATATTCAGTTTATCCCAAGTCTTTAGACAGTAAAATACCATTTTGACATATTTCTCAAATAAAAATATCTTTGTGGTAAGAGAGAATAATGTTAAAATGAATGTTCTATGAGCCTTAAATAAATTAGAACCAAATAAATTCCTTTTTCCTATTACTATAGCATCCATTGATAAAATTGGGGTGTTTTCTCAGTGAGTGTATATGAAATTTTTCATAAAGGAGACAGAATTGCCAGTTGGGTGGTATGGAGTAGATGTGCTTGTGGCTATTCCTTTTTGAGTTAAGTAGAATTTTAATTCTTGGCTAATAAAGGATGCACCTCTGTCAAAGTGAACATAAGATAGCGACCCACAACAGCTGAAAACTTGGTCAAGGCATTTTATCATTGTCACTGAATTGACATCCGGACATGAAAGGGCAAACGGGAATATAGCCATTAACAAATAATACTTTGTGACCATCATCATCATCACACATACATACATACATACTTATGCAAATTCAAATTATACAACAACAAGCATTCATTGGATAGTAAATTGACACTACTGTGTAATGCGACAATTTTATAATCATTATATTTTCATGTAGTCGATTTTGTGCACTTTTGGGAGAATCGAATCCCAGAAGCTTTTCGTGAGTCTCCCCGAAGCTTGCTCACTGATTGGTCAATGCCAACCAATCAGATTATCTGAACGTGAAGAGTGATTCTTCTCGCACAGAGCTTTTGGGTCGATGATCATCTATATAAGCAAAGAAAATTCTTAGTAAACCAGTGAGATCTGAGCTGCCACAGAAATCCACGACAGTTCAAACCATGTGCCAACCTTCTGACATCCAAGACAACATTGTCAGGTCCAGGCCTGTATGCAATGGAATAACTAAATTCAGTTATCTCTACTCTCCACAACTCTGAATTTTGCTGTTCTTACTTTTGTTTGCTTTCTATTTTCGAACATGAATGCAATGGAACATTGATCAATTATTAAAGTAGTAAATTGATTGCTCAAAAGAAATCTCACCACTTTGTAACAGCTTCAATGATAGCTGTAGCCTCTTTTTCCATCGAAGAGTGGTTTAATTTCACTCTTATTTAATTTGAGTGACATGAAAGCAATGGAGCAGCCATTTTGATTAAGAGTTGCAGACACAGTAACATCAGAGACATTGCATTCTACCAAAAAAGGAATACTTTCATTGATAGAGATGAAAGCCTTGCAGAACACAATTCCTCTTTCAGTTTGTTAAAAGTTCCCAAAGCTTCTTTATCTATCAGAAAAGATTTAGTATTGATCAATGGACAGATTTTATTAGAAAACAAAAGAATCCATTTGGAATAATATGAAAACATGCCTGATGTCTGCCTCATTGAGACAGTATCAGGTGTGGGTGGCAACATCTGGAGTGGGTGCAGGCAGTTGGGATCTGGCCAAATAGTATTATGGCTTACGTCATACCCAAGTATTTTATAGACTTGGAAGATATTACGGACTTTGCTTCTATAAATATTGATTTCTACTTTGTTCGTGTTGGTAAATATTGGCCTCTATTTGATTTAGTTTTTTATATATATATATATATATATATATATATATATATATATAATATGTGTGTGTGTGCGTTCCTTTTGGTTGGCCTATAATTATAATTGACTGTTTTACTTGAGTCTATAAATATTGGTTCCTATCTTATTTTTGATCTTTTGCTGAAAATCTTTCCCCCTAAAAAAAAAAAAATATCCTTATTTACTCATTTGGATTAATTTTAAGAAGTGAAGCAGACCAAGAACTTTTCATCACTCTCTTTTATATAAGGTTGATACAAGTTTTTGCAGCATTCTTTTTTTGCACAATGTTAAGAAGTGTATTTCAAGAGTAATCAGTTCTTTACTAGTTGTGCAGTAAGGCCAGTCAATTATAGTTTATTATTTATAAGCCTTAGAAAAAGTTCTGAAACCAGGAAGATGAATTCTAGACAAACTCACTGAAGTGATCATTTTTAAGGGTAAAAAAAAAAAAAAACTATGGCAAATTGGAAAAATCTTTTCATGGTACATTTTGTCCTTTGAGAAACATTTTTATAAAAGATTAACCACTGGAGATGAAAATGGATTTAAAGACAACTGACCAGTTCCATGACTCTTCCTCATCTTAAATTTACTCTTCTGTGGAAATGTTTATTTTCCATGTCTGGTGAAATTCATTTTTCATTTTGAATATGTGGAAGCTGGATAAATTGTTAAAATAAAATGCACATTGAGTAATTGTCTTGTTTGAATGACCTTGAAGCATAAGACATTTTTCATACTAAAGATGTTGCCAAGTGATTTTTTTTCTGAATGACAACTTGTATCTTCAAGTTATAAATACAATGCAAAAAATGTATATTGACATTGGCTATTTCATATTCAATCTATTTTCCAGATAAGTCACTTTTAAACTCTCAATTATTTCATTCCATGCAGTGCTGCTCTTTGTTTAAGCAACAGTTCCAATAATTTCAAAATATGGAAAAATTCATGTAAAAATTTATTGAATCAAAACGAGAAGTTATTTTCTGATGCGATACACCATTTACCTGAAATATCAGGTGTGATCAGCTGAGTCGTCAAAATTCTAATTCTTTTGGGTAGATAGTCAAGTTTGTGAGTGAAGAAAGCAGCAGCACGAGTTAGCTAATTGTGTGTGTGGGGGGGGACATGTTCTGGCAGAGTTTGCAACAAGTGAAGCTGGTTTCTTTTTGATGGGGGGTGTGTATATATATATATATATATATATATATATATATATATCTCATTGGTGTTAGTTTCAGCATCCTAACTACAGACTTTCATAGACAAACCCTCCAGTAATCACTCCATCCACTCATCAAGGTGTATCAGTAATTGAATGATTATATTTCTTGTTTTTCTCTTATATATATGTACTTTTCATTGGTGCAAATTGATTTATTTTTTTATTAGTGTGTGTGTATATATATATATATATATATATATATATATATATATATATATATATATATATATATGTGTTTTGTATTGTATCCTTAAAAGAGGTTACAAACAGACAAAGGTGGTACTCAACACATGTGTAGATGTAAGAGAATACACTATGGAAAGACAGGGAATCGGGTGGCAGGCTAGTAATTCCCGAAGCAAGGTTATTTACCTTACCTCCCCACAAAGTAGGATGTGGCACAAGGCTGTTTTTTAATGTGGGCAAAACTGAGCCCATAGTCTCGGGCAAAAATTACCTGTAGACCCCGTAAAAATGGAGTTGAGTAGCTGTCTACCACCCCAGACGAGACTCTGCCTTTCAGCATAGCCTTGTCTGGGTTCCTCTCTGCCTTCAGGCGGAGAGTTCGACCAGCACAGCCAGAGACAAATCTCCAGCTAATTGCCGAAGCAAGCACATCAGGTATACCCTGTGCTCGCTATATATAGATACTGATATAGTCAGTCCACATAGGCAATAGGAAGTGTGGGACATTCCATTGCAACTATATATGCACGCACATTATTTTTTATGGATACTCATATTCAAGTAGAAGCTCTGGTTTTTAATTAAACAGTATTTCTTATCCAACTACATCTACTGGCCTGAACATTCAAGAAATCTAGTCAAAAAAAGTGCATATTTTTCTGACATAAAAATAAATATTTGCTTAAATATGTTGATCCAAATTAATTTTTAATGTAAATTACTATTTGTTTTGAATATAAATTTGTTTATTAAATAAGAACAAGTAATCTCCCTTTAATTAAAAAAAAAAAAATTAGAAAATGAATATTCACCACTCAAAGATA